CAAATTTTTAATAAATAGTTAATAAATTTTTAATAAATAGTTTTGATAAATAGTTATCAAATTTTTAATAAATAGTTAATAAATTTTTAATAAATAGTTTTGATAAATAGTTATCAAATTTTTAATAAATAGTTAATAAATTTTTAATAAATAGTTTTGATAAATAGTTATCAAATTTTTAATAAATAGTTAATAAATTTTTAATAAATAGTTTTGATAAATAGTTATCAAATTTTTAATAAATAGTTGATAAATTTTAAATAAAATTTTAATGAATTATTAATAAATTAATATCCAATTTTTTTGAATTGTTAATAAATAATTTTGTAATAAACTTAATAAATTTTTGCCAAATAGTTAATGAATTATTTAACAAATTATTAATAAAATTTTTGATAAATTATTAATATTCTGATTTTTATAATATTTATAGCTGAATTATATAGTTGCCAATTTATTTATATTATGTTTTTGCTAAATTATTTATTTTTTGTTGAATGTTTCACAAGTGAAAATATGCTAAATAATTTTTTTTCAACTAATATTAGATTATATATCCAGTTTTTAGATATTGACATAAAGTAAATATATTTTTTGCTTCATTCTTTGAATATATATAGTAGAAATATAAAATTGTTAGTTTATTTGATTTCTTAAAAACTTCTGTTTCTAATATTGTTGAATTATATTTTATAAAATCATTTTTTCTATTTGATTATTTCCTATTAATTGTTTTTGACTAGTTTTCTTTTTTTTTAATATTTTTGTATTTATAGGTAAAGATGAATTTCTAAAGGAAGAAGTAGAAACAAAAGTCAAATATTCCTTATTAAGAAATATTAAAAATTTTAAATTAATAATTATAAAAAAACTATTCAAGATAGTTTTCTATTATCAAAACCTTTAATTTATAACATTTTCTGAATTTTGTCTCTATTAAAATAATTTTGTCTTTCAAAAAAAATATAAGTGATCAATAAAATTTTAAATACTAAATATTTTAAGAACCTATTATTATCTATAAGTATAATTTGATTATTACTTTACTATAGTGATTCTTTGTTTTGATATTTTCTGAAGAAGTTTCTTTCTCTTTTTCTTTACTTTTTGAATTCACCTTTACTATTTCTATATGAATTTTTTTGCATAGCAATCTCTATTACCTTTTGTTAAAATATTTTTATTGTAGTTTGATCTGCCTTATATGTATTGATTTTTGCATTCTTTTGAAGAACACATCTTTCCATTCACTTTTCTTCTTGTTTTTCAAAATTACCCAAAAAGGGAAAATTTTGGGAAAAAAGAAAGAGTTTTGACTATTCTAACCTAGCTATTGATAACTATATATTAATTATTTAATTCCTATTTGCTTATTAAATAGCAGTAGGTTTATTTTAAAACAAATCACAATAGGTTAATACTAACTTATATGCATATAGTATACTATATATGAAATGATTAATATCATACTAAAGAGTTTAATACTAGTTACGATTCAAAAAAAGCAATAATTGATAAAGTAATTTTTGTCAATTAAAATAATGATAATAATATTAGGAATTATTTTATCAGAGTATCTTTTAATAAATGAGAAAGTACACGAACACGTGAAAAAAATTGATAATCAGCAAAAGCATTCACGAATATAATTTTTCTTTTAAAAAAAATGTCCTCAGAATCGTCGACCGAAGAAGAGGTATCACAATACCGAAGCGATGAAGAAACGGAAGTATCATCCTTACCTTCTTTCGTACCTCCAGCAGGGTGGAAAAAATTACAGACTTCCGAGGTTTCGAAATTCGATATCGTCGACATTCAGAATGATGAAAACGAGATTTGGCTGTTGAAAATTCCGTCTCGAGTTACGAGAGCTGATCTTTCGGGGAAAACTTTTAAACTTTCTACTGAAGGTGCAGAAGTTCCAACAAAAGTGGCGAAGCTTCAAAAAAACATTCAGGAAACCACTTTTGCATCATTTAAGAAGAGAACTGTAGATACAACAGCCACTTACGGAGTTTATGAAATGCCAACGGGAAAATTAAAGAGCCAAGGTGAAAAGGATGACGAGTTCACGAAGGGGATGGCATCTCATCAGGCAATTTTGGATAAGATGCAAGAATTCGAATTATTGATGCCAAATAAATCTTCGAATGGAAGTTTGTTCTTATCAAGCAAAAAACCTGATAGGTATTTTAACATATGCCGTGAAATTGAGCAGCCAGATCTGACACAAAATATCGATTCGACTCTCCTAAAGAAACCCGATGTTCAACATCCCCCAGAGTCTTTTGTTCCAAGATCAGCTGCTACTGTTCCGGAGTTTTCCAAGGAACATATGGATAAGGCTTATTTAGAAAACAAGAAATTTAGACAAAAACTGATCGAAGAGTGGAATTACAACAAATGGCATAAACAAATAAAAAAACATGACAAAAAAATTCATGAAGTCTACCTGGAGTGGCAGGAAAAGTGCAAGACTATGATAAAAAAATCTAAAGAAAAGTTTACAAGAGAGATCGAAGGTAAAAGGAAAAAAGAAACATCGAAAAATAAAACGGATAAGAAGGCAAAGAAACGTAAATTCAATGATGTCGAGGGTTCTGGTAGTGAAGAGTTTCTGACAACCACTGATGAAGAGGTGCCCGTAACCCCAACCAAGAAGAGAACAAACGAATCCAAATATGGAAAAGGACATAAGAAAATATTAAAATCGCAATACTTCACCAATCTTTACTCTAGCGATGATGAAATATTAGCGGAAGTCGCGGAAGAAGAGGCCGAGTTTGCCAAAATGGCACAAGAACAAATTCGCTTGAAGGAAACAATAACAAAGAGCTTGGAAGATGCTGAGAGGCAAGCATTCGAAACGTGGATACCGTCGCTTGTCACATGCCCCAAATTTGAGCCACCGGTCACTTGGTGGTCGAAAATGAGCGAAAGGATTATCGCAGAGGAGGAAGAAAAAAAGCTGAAGCCTTACGCGATTAAAAGGGATTGGAGTGTAGAAGAGAGGATGGAATACTATAAAAAGTATATGTGCGAACCTCCACCATATCCTGTACCAAAACCAAAGGGTCGGGAAATTGAAATCAATTATGTCGGAGTTTATGGAAAAATTAAGGCACCTAAATATCATCAAAAGAGAATCAAACCACCTCCAAAACCTTGAACTATTATTAACTATTTTCATTTCTTAGAATTTATAAATGTGATTCGAAATTTTCTTTAATATACGCGTTTTGTAATAGATCACTTTCCATCGAATGACGTTAAAGATTCGAGTAAATAGTCAAAATATTATTTATCTATTTAACCTATGAATAGTAAAAAAAGGACATAAATAAAATCGACTATAAAAATAATAATAATAATAGTCTTATTATAAATTGTACTGAATACTGTAATTATAATTATTATTATACGCCTAATTTCTTTTTTCAATTAAATGCGATTTAATTAGAAAAACCGGAACCTTTGAGCTGCCCGGTCCAATATAAAAAAAGGGATTGTGTCTCAAGAATAGTATCAATGACTTACATTGTGGAGACGTGGATGCACACAGTGTTAAACCCAAATTATCGCCAAATGAAGATCCGCGTACCAGCATTATGAAAAATTTCATAAATATGTATGGTATGTAGGTGGTTGTTTTCAGACGGTCAACAACAAATCGAGAAAATATGGCTACCTTCAAGTTTTGTTCTCAATGGTAAATTCACCAGGTTTTCCGTACACCGTTCTTGTCTCCGGCTTTTGATTTACCGCCTTGGTTTCAAACCTTACACAGTAGCAACCTGTTATATCCAAGAGAAGACAAGGAAAGTCAAAGGCTTTTATATGCCTGTCGAAATTGCATCTATCAGGAAGAAACAATGAATTATTGTGTCTACAAGAATGAAATTCAGAATGCTGCAAGGTTTGCATTTCATTAGAACAGCGGGCGGTCGATAGTTGAGGTTCGCCGAAAAAGGGTGGGCCTCTGGATCGTGTGATTTGACGGCTAATCGAACCCCGTTCTTTTCAAAAAAGCGAAAACGTTTCAATAATCAAGGACCTGGCGGCGGATCCCACTTTGGTAATGAGCATGGTGTGGAGCGTTGTCGTCTCTCCAATAGGGAGCTGAATAATTTTCATGTAACAATGTAGGCACGAAAAGAGAAAAAATGCATCCAATGTGGTTACAACATAGCGGTGTTCTTTGAGGCACAAACTCGTCGTTCTGATACGAAAATGAATCTATACTACGCGTGCGCAAATATTCATTGTGGTTACCGTTGGACTGATGATCAGGTACCCGTAGAAAATGTAGAGGACCAATATGAGAATGAAGAAGACCTGGAATATCAGGTTAATGATTACGAGATGCACAGTCAAGATGCTGATATTGGAGGATATCCGGGTACTTGTTTGGGACTATTTTACTATTTTATAATTCATGAAAAATAAAAAATGACGCCTCATATTTCTTAGAATCCACGTATCCTATGAACACCATGGAACCCGAGGATCAGGACGTTTCAGCCATTCCAAAACAGGAATATCATGACTCTGATGATTGGTGACGTTATCAGGTAAGATGACTTTGAGATTTTATTCTCGAAAAATCTGATCCATCATTTCTCTTTTACCACTACAAAGCTCCAGCCGATTTTAGTTTGGAAATCAGATCATCCACCGAATCAACCTTGGTACCGCCCTGTCTCACTGGCGGTTCCGTCACGGAAAGAATTTCCGACCTCGGGGAAATGTCCACGTTCAAATCTTGAAGGGTAAACTTGGTCAACAGTTTCTTCTTGGCTTTCATTATATTTGGAAGGGTTGTGAATCGAGGTTCATTCAACCTACGTGTTAAAAAAAAAAAAAAAAAAGAAAAAGAAAAAAAAAATAGATATATGTAATTAATAAAAATGCTAAAACTATTTTGTAATACACAACTCAAGGATAAAGACAATGATAATAATAACAATAATAATAATAATATGATGATGATGATGAATGTACCGTAGATCGGTAGTTACAAGTGCTGGCAATTTACTGCTAATTGTTTCACTACCTCCATCCACTTCACGTGTCACTGTGATTTTATCCTCGACGACCTCAACCTTGGAAGCAAAGGTAGCCTTCATTAAATATAATAATGAATAGGTGAACGATCGACCGACCAACCAATCAATCGATCAATAACAATTCTATAGTTAATAATGGGTTAATAATCGGTGCGATCGAAGGAATCCAATGAAAAGCCTATTTCACAGTACCTGAGGCCAGTTCAACAAGCCGGCCAGCATTTGACCGGTCTGACTGGAATCATCGTCGATCGCCTGTTTTCCCAAGATTATTAGATTCGGATTTTCTTTCTCCACGATGGCTTTAAACAATTTGGCCACGCCCAACGGTTCTAACACCTGATTTTCAGGAACCTCGACGTGTATGGCTCTATCGACTCCCATGGCCAAAGCAGTCCTCAATTGTTCTTGGCTCTTTGGAGGACCACAGGACAGAGCGATGATCTCGGATACCTTATCTTTGCCCATACGTTCTCTCAATCTGATTGCCTCCTCGACAGCAATTTCGTCAAATGGGTTGAGCGAGTGTTTTACGTTTGCGGTTTCTACGGCCGTCTTCGCGGCGTTAACCCTGATCTTCACCGCAAAGTCTATGACCCTCTTGCATCCTTCGTATGTGGTGGATATGGGTGGTAATTAAGGGGGGGGAAAGGGATTGAGTGAGTTATTCTATTTGATTGAATGAGGAGACAGAATGGTAATTCCATTCAGTCGAAGAACAAAACTTACCCACGAGAATCTTCAGATTTACCATTTCTTTTCCGACAATTCTAACATACGAATGAAATGTCCCCGAGATCCCCGATTGATAATTTATTGTTACACCGGATTACGCTGATTGGCTGATTGGGCGTGAAATCTAGTCATACGTGATAAATCGTGTAACGGTGCATGCATTCTCGCCCCTTCGCAGGAAAAGGAATTTAGTGATGTCAGTGCATGTACTTAATTACATTTGGAGAGGAATTTATAACCAGAGCCTCCATGGCGCAACCGGTTAGCGCGTTCGGCTGTTAACCGAAAGGATCCTGGTTCGAATCCAGGTGGGGGCGACTTCTCTACTTATTTTCTTTTTTTTTTTTTTTCGCTATCACGGGATCTTCATAGTGGACACGATGCATGCAAACCGACTAACGAAATTTACCTCTTTAGCGATCATTGGCCGTCACCGCCACCACCGCCATTAACCTTTTTTTTTACACGTGTCCGTCGTGCAAAAAAAAAAAATTTTTTTTCTTGTGTATTGTTTGCATATGTTTGTATTAAACCTTAGCAGTGTTCCCTTGCTTGATCTTATCAAACGAGATGACCAACAAGAAAAATCTAGTACGCGACAGGCCAATCGATTTTACAATCGATTTCGGATATCTCGTGTCAGCGTTAAGGTATCGCGTGTGCAATTCCTTGCAATTCAATTTTTCACACGTTATTGATTAAACTCCCCACACAAAACATTATCTGCACAGACAGCACACGGACCTCTGAATAGAACATTAGATGGTGATTTTCACGATTTGTTTGCTCACGTTACGGTCGTCACAACAGCTATTCCCAATTATAATACAGTAAGTATATTGGGCTGAGAACCGAATAATAATTCTGTTTGACACTTTGTTTGTTTTGCTTGGGAAAAAAAAAAAAAAAAAAAAAAAAAAAAGGATTTTTTCATATGACAATACAACGTACGTTACGTTATACGTTACGTGCGCAAAATCAAGCTATGCCGTAAACCTAAACTTTTGCGGAGGTGCGATTAGATACCGCGAAGAAATCTGATTTGTCTTCCTTCGCATCTAGGTAGGAATTACGTAATCAATCGGTTGATTTAGTAAGCAAAATTCCATTAAGGGTTGGCCAGGGTTTTTTTTTGATACGTGGATGGCGTCACATCGGGCGAAAAAAAAAGAAGCTGGACACACGCATGCATTCTAGCGTTAAACGCCAAACCCGAGTGATACGTCGGGTCAAACAGATAAACTCAATGTAATAATGATCATGCATGCGTTTCACGTGTGTGTATTTTCGCGGGCACTACGGGATGTTATTCATGTGCGCTATGTGCCGCTGATACAGGATCAATATGAGTGGTGAGTAAATGCGCTAAAAGTAATCGCCTTTTTTGGTTAAGCATTTTTTCTACGCAAATGATAATGCGATCAATTTTGGTATTGTGATCTCCGTAAGAATAGGGTTTTGCCACCGCAACATATTGTAAATAAATAAATAATTGATCACTTCTATAGTGAAACGTAAGGATGCGAATAATGTGAATGTGTACGTGTACGTACGTTACCGTGACCTCGTTCAATATCTTGTTGCTTGTATTCGGTCAATAAAATAAATAATTGATTGTGGATTCATCCTTGCAGCTTTTTCACACAACTTTCACACTATTTTCACGAGCATTTTTACCCATTTATGTCGATTTTTCCAAGAAATACGTGAAAGAGTATGATAAAAGAATAAGCGTAGCAAGTAACCCCTGCCATCACAAAGCAGATGGTATGCCGAAATTCGGGTTTAAAAGGTGACATTTACCGCTGCAAAATTAAGGCACCGACTATAAATGAATTATTTGCATATGAGAATAAGGGGTTGTTGAAATTAATCGAGTGAGCGGAAAAAAAAAAAAAAAAAAAAAAAATAATATTTAAAAGTCAACTTCCTGCAACAGCCTTGTCAAGGTTTAAAAGCCTAAAATCGTTTATATCATACTACCGCAATCTGCCACAAGTAAATACTTAATTTTTTTTTTTTTTTTATTAGAAGGAAAAAAAAAAAAAAAAAAAAAGATATATATACCTCTAATACATACAACAAAAAAATTCTATCGAATCTTTTTTTTTTTTTTTTTTTTTTTTGAAAATGTCAAATACGATCGTTGTTAGTAATATTGGCCTCGACACTTTGGAAAGTACAGGTATTTCATCTTTCATGGGGATTAGATAAATTGCTGTAGCAATGCAATACACCCCGTCCCTCGGTTGATTAACCATCTTCACCCCCAACAGTTAGATATCACTTCTCGCTCTCAAAAATAAAAGAGTTTGAACTTAAAAAGTAAAAAGAGAATTTCTTGGTCATCCATTCGTTCGCATTCGATTTCTCCCAAAGTGAGCACTCACTTTCTTACTCACCTTCACCCATATACTCGTCTCCATTAAATTCATAGAGACGGAAACGATAGGCAAATCGCGTTCATCACATTTGAAAACAAAAGAGACGTTGACACCGCTCTAGTTTATGACGGAACATTCATGGATACATCAAAGATCAACGTTAGACCACTAAACAGAGTAGGTGACAATGATGACACATACTCGGAGAACGATGAAAAGAGTCAACTCGAGGCTAAGTCCAATATCGACATCTTGGCCGAAATTCTAGCTGCCGGCTATCAGTTGCAAGAAACCATCATCGAGAAAGGCAGTGGTATTGATGGTTTGTAATTTACTTCTTTTTTTATCATAAATCCAGCATACGAATTTACGAAAAATTATTTTTCCCACGATTTCTTAAATCACTTTATCGGACACTTCAAATTACAGCAAAATTAGGGGTCTCTGAACGTTTCAGCCAATACCTGACTCAATTGACGGCCAAACGTGAGCCAACAACATAATCTTCCTGTCATTAAACTTGTACACTGCTTTTCTGCTCACGCACGTTTTCCCCTCCTCTTCATCCACCCTTAGTCCAAGAACTTGACCGTAAATATAAGCTAACCGAGACGGTTGTCCACAAGGCTTCAGAAATCGATAACAAATACTCCGTTAAAGATACAGTGTTGAGTAAAGCCACCCAGGTGTTGGACACGGAGCCTGGCAAATACGCCCAAGAACTATACAACACCACCTACAACCAAATCGGCGTTATTCAATGTCAAGCGCGAAAGATCGCCAACGCCAAGAAGTCTGAAGGTAATGGTGGCATCGAAGCTCACTAAGTTGTTGAAGAATATAACCATCAATCATCATCATCGCAAAACTCTTCACCACTCGATTTCTCATTTCTTTAAATGTATTCTTATCGAAATTATCGGAAAAAATGAAAAAAAAAAAAAAAAAAACCTCATCTTTTACTTAATTCTTTATATTTATATGACCGTTGGAGATTTTTGAATTCTCTTTTTTTACGGATTGCATTTACACACCAAAAAAAAAAAAAAATTTCGTAGCAATTCAACGGACATATTCGATCACATGTTCATCTAATAAATTTGTAATTAGAAAAACATAATTTTTTAAAGTTGATTTGTTTACATGTGTACGAATCATTTATAAAAATATCCTATCAATAAAATTAATCTAGATAATTACTACAGTATTTCGTAAAATTTTATGTGGTTTTTGAGTTTTAACAAAAAAGTTTTAAATTTTATATGTTTATTATATGTTTATGCTACTACCATATATCATAGCTTACAGTATTATACGATTTGAAAGTCTATTATTATTGTTACTGTATATTAAAAGATTTTCATATGTTAGGTCAAGTATAATCAGGGTCCAAAATCAGAATCAAATCAGAATCAGACCAATACTAAATTGGAATCAATCAAACTGGACTGGAGTTTTTCGTGTTTCATGTTCTTACTGTAATACTCTTCTTATATGGAGAATCACGGAATTCCTAATGATAACGAATATATTCATTCAGGTAACCCTTACGATCCGCAGGGATCAACGGTTAGTTTGCAATAACTAGGGATGATACATCATTCATTCCATCCGAAAAGTCGTCCAACATCCATTACCGTGAACCGTGTAAAGACAGATGATTCGTTGTGCCTGGCGGTCAACGAAAAAAAAAAAAAAAACGACGTTGAAATATCTCTTATGTCATCTTCCATGATGGTCGGTAAGCGGCATAAGAATAATTCTTTCGGAATTCAAAAGTTCACGAAGCTTAGCTTTTGTAATCATGTTGATAATCACGAATAGTTTGCTTTTATTACTTTCTTCAACACATGGGTCCCCATTAAATTAAATTGCCGTACGCGTTCTTACTTTCAATAAAGTTTTCCAATAGTCAAAACGGTTTCCAATTTCTTGTAAAATCTCATATCGAGTAGTCTTGGCCCCTTTAGGCATAAATGTCGTCGTCCAGCAGCTCTCGATTCCTCACCAAATCGTTACCAACGCATTCAAAACCAAAATTTGCCTTTGCAACGTACAAAAAGTATAATAGACCAATAAATAATCGTGTTACGAATAACCAAGGGTCCACTTCGTTCCCCGGTGAACCTTCTTCATTCGGTGGAACCGACGATGACCTCACAAACGCCTCTCAGACCAACCACGCGAAGGAACCAAATGATTCGCATGACCAGCAAAATAATCAAGATAGCGATGAAGGTTCGAAAGTAATTTTGGGTCTAATTGTTTCACAAAATGAATTAGCGTCGGCTGCATCGACGTCAGAAAATATGAAATATGATATTTTTGATGAGTTTTTAGAGTATGGGGTGAAGGACAAATCTCAATTCTACGGTAACTTTAAGAGGAACAGAAATAGCGGCAAGAAGGATAATAACAATGGAAGTAACATCATCGTCAACAAGAGGACGAATAATGTCTTCAATGAAAAAAAGACGAAACGATCCCTGAATCAAGACGAAAATGTAAAAAGAATACGAACCCATACCTATGATACGGATCGCAGTCATTCCAAAGGCGAAAAGATTCGTAAAGAGGTATTGAAAGACGTAGAAGAGATCAGAAAAGAAATTACGAAACGCGCATTGACCGACAAGTCAAACAAAAAATCACGAGATCCTTCGAATCTGCATCATGAGGTCGTGGAGGTGGATTCTGCGTTTGTAACCGGAAACAATGAACTGGAATTCGTGAAGAGAAGCATGGAATCCGAGCAACGTGTCGGTTTTCGGGTTTTTCGGGATTTCGAAAGTGAAAGTCATAATACTGGAAACGATGGTGATAAGGTAAGGTAATAAATAATACAGCAACCGTATTTAACACCATTCGTTACGCCTAATTTATTTTCTTATTTATTAATTAACAAAAGCCGAAAGGTGACAAAGATTTATCGCCTGATGTCGAGATTGAGGACGATATCAGTGACCTTGAAGATTGGCACAACATGAAACCTTTGATGACCTCAACGCCCACCGACGAGAAACATGAGTTTCCTCAAAAATACGTGCCGGTAGATTCTGACACATCATTTGACAAAGAAATCACGGGGATCATTACTTTGGGAGAAAAGGAGATGGAATGCGACAATGTCTCAAAGATACGGGAAGAAAAGGAAGAAAATATTGTGGTTTTAGGAGAGCAAGAGGTGGAAGACGGCGGCGTTCCGATGGTGCTGGAAGCGCAAGAGAAGCTGCAAGAGGTAAACGAACCGAACGAAAATCAATTGGAAAAAACAATACAAGAAACCGCACAACCACTGATTAACGAACAAGGAGAGAAAAAAACTGTACGCCGAAAACAAAAAACAACTCGCAATTTGTCTCCCGATCCACTTACAGTTCCATGGAAAGCGGACGACAGATATATTATACCTCTACCACATGATCTCTCAACGAACGATGTACAAAGGAAGGAAAGGAAGGGTCGAGGTTTTAGTCAGCACAAAAGGTGACTAGAAGTTTAGAGAAGCCATTGCCGACATCAGCGTCAAGTAAAGTCGGTTTGCGATGAATTGGCAGCACTTTAATCATTAATTAATCCCCAATTAATTAATTAATTCCCGAAGCATCATATAACAAAATTCGTGATAGTGATAGTATATACTGTAGTATTATGGTTTATTTATTTATTTCTGTCCACTCTATATATCTATGGTATTATTTTCACATGCAACACGTGAGTTAGTGAGTTATCACAAAATAAATTGTTAATAGGAATGCAATATCGATGCTTCTATAATTCCTTTGGCATAAATCAAATAGATCTTTGGCAATTAATCTATCCCGGGTCGCTTGCACTTTTAGTATCGCTCTGGTACCGGCAATTTATCATTTCATTTCATATATTTAAAGCATGTTTATGGCATAATAAAGCATACAGAACAAATTTTCTTATTTATTTATTTACAGTATAATTTAATAACTACATACAGTATATAATTACTGCTCAACCTTTCTTTATTAAAAATAAATCTATAAAATAAATAGTACCGAAGATACAATGTCACGGAAAGAACATTTTTTCTTAGAAATTTATTAGTATTCAAGTTATTTTTTGATATACAATATAATCAAATTTTTTTATTTTATTAAATTTATTTTAATTTAATTTTAAATTTTTAATCTTATTAGATTTACTAAAATTTTATTAATTAAAAATAACAAAAAATAAACAAAACCATAAACAGTATAATATATGTTTATATACCGTAAAAGAATCACAAAATTTAAATTAAATCAATTTGATCTATAAAATCAATTCAATTTATTAAACAAATTATAGTAAATAGATCTAATTTGATATTTGAATTAAAAATCAAAAATTATAATTGAATTAAAAATTTGAACTTGATTTGATAAATAAAATTTAAAATTTAAACTTGATTTGATAATAATATTAAAAAAATTTTAATCTAATCAAAATTAATATAAATAATAATAATTTAATTAATATCTAATAATAAATATATTAATTTTTTCTTATTCACAGTTAGGTTAATATGACATGTCTTTATTATATATATGAAAAATATTTATAAAATTGTTATAATTTTCATATGTTAACTTATTCATTGTAAAAAATTTAATTCTTTATATATAACTCAAGAAATAATATTTTATTTTTTTACTGATTTAAATTATTTTTAAATAAATAAAATTATTATCTATAGATAAAGATATTCTCTAAAGAAGAAAAAAAAAAACAAAAAACAAATGTTCCTTATTAAGAAATATTAAAATTTTTAAATTAATAACTATAAAAAAACTATTCAAAATAATTCTTTATTATCAAAACCTTTGATTTGTAATATTTTTTAAAATTTGTTTCTATTAAAATAAAAAACCATAAATTTTGTTTCTCAAAAAAATATATTAATAATTAATAAAATTTTATAAGCTAGATACTTTAGAAATCCATCATTACCTCTAGATCATTATAGTAAATTATTCTAAGTTTTGTTTGTAATTTAAAATCTGAATCATTTAATATTATAATAAATTTATTATTTAATAATTTTTATATCATTCTTTTTTTTTCTTCTTTTATTTTCTTGTTTTATATTTTCTATTGAAGATGCTATTAATTTTTATGATCTTATGGGATCAGTATACTTGCTATATTTATATATCATAGAAGACAAAAAAAAATTGCTTAAATTTAAAATTTTTATTATAATTTAAAATTTATTTATTTAAAAAAATATAAAAAAATATTAATATAAATATTTTAGATTTATAAAATAATTTTTAATTGAAATAATTATTTTAGTTTTATAAACTAATTTTTAATTAAAATAATTTATATTTATTTAATAATATTATTTTTAATTTTTTTTTTAAAATTTTATATTTTAAGTTGTATAAATATTATAAGTAATATATTATTTTAAAACAAATTATATATAAAATTATATCTAAAAAATCAAATTTATAGATATTAGTTTATAAAATTTGTATATAATATCAAATTTTTTAATTAAATAATAATATAAAATAATAATAATAATAAAAGTTATAAAATAGTTTTAAGTAAAATTAAATTTTAAGTATTTAAGTATTTATATTTTAAGTTTGATTTAAGTTAAATAATTCTTTATTAAATTAAATATATTTGAAAAAAAAATTAAATTTTTTCATCCTCTACTATATATAATTTTTATAATTTTTAATTGTTTAATTAATAATTTAAAAATTAATAAAGTTAAAACTTACAATAAAAACATAATAAGTAAGCTTAACATTAAAACTATAACTATAATTAATTTACTTATCTTTATTAATTTGATTCAAAATACAATTTCAAAATAATTTGTTATATTATTTATAATTTAAATAAATATTTTTTAATTATAAATATTACAACTTATAGATTATTATTACAAATTCTTTATAATTTATTTTAATTATATTAAAATTCAAATATTTTATATTATTAATTATCTATTATTATTGTTATATTTTATTTATTTTTATTTTTTTTATTAATTAGTTTAAACTTTGTTTTTTTATTAAAACTTAATAATATACAAATAAGTATAAAATTTTTTTTATTAAAACTTAATAATATACAAATAAATATAAAAATTTTTAATCTTATTTTTCATTAAATTTTTTGATTTCTTTTCATTTTTTTAAAACTCATGATCAAGCTAATATAATATATTTATTAATTATTATAAAAATTAATAAAGATACATTGAACAATTTTATTATAGTTAAACTAAATCTTATACTAATCTACATATTAATAGTTATCAATTTTCAAATGAGTTTAAGCTTTTAAGTATAACCTTAAGAAAAAATATTTTGCTCTAGAATAAGTTTTAGATAAAGATTATTCAACTTACTTATTATTATCAACAAATTGTTACTATCGATTATCTTTCAAAGAATTGATTTCAAGAAACTACAATAGAGAAAAGAAAAATAAAAGAAAAGTAAATATCTAAAAATGTATAAATATATATACATAAAGAAAAAAGCAAAAAGGAAAATAAAAGTGTTTCATATTTTTCAAAGGATTTTTATCAGAAACCTTCTCTCATTAGAAATCAATTCTTCTAAAATATTTTTCTTCTTTCTAACTATTTGAGGAACTTATTTATTTATAATCTTGATTATTTTTTTAAGATTATCTAAAATACTTCTTGTCTACTTGAATCCAATATCTTGTTTTTTGCTTTTTTTCTTTTGGTATTAATTTTATATTTACTTATATTAAGTTACAACTTATAACAGACTTCAGATTTTTATATAATCTTTCAATTATATTATATAACTATTAATTTCTTTCAATAACTATATCTACTTAAAAGAATTTTATTGATAAATATTTATCATTGCTCAGAAAGTTGAATTTTACAATAATTTTTTTATCTTGCAATAGTAAAAAAAATATCACAAAGTGATAATGATTCTCATCAATTATAATTTTTTTTTTTTTTTTTTTAACCCACAATCATACCACAATGGCATGTCTTTATTGAAAAATTGAAAATAAATTTACAATATTTTATAGACTTTCACAAAGTGACTAACTC